ATGATGTATATTTTTATTCTTAGCTGAATCTAAAATTTTTTGAATTGAAAACACTATATCTTGAAAAGCTCAGATTTGTATAATGATAAGATAGTGTGATCCAGATATCTGCAAATTACAAAGAATCTAGATATTTGTTAAATTTAAATAAAAAAATAGATAGCATCAATCTATAGTATGAAAAAAACTTCTCAAGCTTAAGAATTTTCTTGATACATTATCAATAAACAGTTTCTATATTATAAAATTACATAATCTGATTGTATAATCCTAATGAGCCTTAATATTTACTATATATATGGTTTAGGATAAATTTCAATTTCAATTTCACTAGTTTCACTAGTTAAAAATAAAAGGTTCATGACTAATTTATATTTCAATTTCATTAATTGAAAAAAACTCTAAACAAAAAAAATATCTTCATCTCTTTACTCAAATATAATACAACACTATTGACTACATCAACTACATCAACTGTGAGCTGAAAAAAACTAAAAATTAAATGCTAGAATTAGCCGTAGTAATCAGAGTCATACTTCTTTTTTTTCATATAGATAAAAACAACTCTGAATTTGCATACTGCAAAATATATGAAAGTAGCCTTACCAGAACTCAGCAAAATCCCTATTCCTATAGCTGTAAAGAGGCAATATATCCAATTTGATAGCTCATTTATGTGACAAATATAATAAATATATAATTTAAAGCACTAAACATAATTTAGATGAAATATAGTATATATGGCATCTGCTCTAAATTAATATAATTAAAGACAATTATACTAATTACTTAGATGAATATAATGAAGTATGAGTTATTTAATTAAATTATTGTAATTAATTACTGTTAAAATAAAAAAATAATAATTTATTTTACTTACTAGCCAAAATATGATCAAGCCAAAGTTACTGACTACTTTAATAATATAGTACCTCCATGTTCACTATATATGCAACAACTAATTGCAAGAAAATTGATTCAATTTATTATTCGATTTGTTGAGCCACTCTATATTTTACAAGATGAATCATTTTGTGAGTTAATGTATACTTGTGTACCTGGATTTCAAATTCCATGTGATAAAACTGCCAAGAGATTAATCCACGAAGTATATAATTGGAGTCAAAGTCAATTGAAATCTCTACTTAGTAGTAGCACAATAGCAGTTCATTTGTCTACTGATCTGTAAACAGCCAAGTCTTGCTATGGATATTTAGGTATTAGAGCAACTTGGCTGTTCTCAGATTTTAAGTTTTGAGAAGCTTTACTCTCTTGCAACCATCTTGCACACCCATATACTAGAGAAGTAATCAGTGAAGAGTTGTTTCAAATAATTTGTGAATGGTGTTTTGATAACAGTTTTTGTTGTAGCCACTAATAATAGCTCAAATATGGTTAAAGGAATAAATTTATTACATGAAAACTATTTTAACAATATTATATGCCAACTATGTGCTGCATATACTCTACAATTGTCAGTTAAAGAAGGACTAAAGCAATGTAAAGCTATACTTCGTCATGTTAAAAGTTTGCAGGCCTTTTTTAGATTACCTAAACAGGCACAACGCCTATATGAAGCACAGTGTAAATTTAACTTAAATAAGAGAAATTCAAATATTATTGAAAACCTACTTGATATTTTGACAGAAGTAAAAACAAGGTGGAATGCCACCTATTTGGCCTGGAAATGTGTCTTGGAATTGCATAATGTGATGAGATTTGTTTCAACTTCATTAATTGCCAAGTCAGATCATGCTTCGAAAAGAGAAAGAGAAAAGCTTGACAGACTATGCTTATCAGTTGATGAAAAAGAGTAAATTTCAAAATATTATTTATAAAATTAAATTTTATTATATAGTAAATTATTTTTTGTAAAATTTTTATTGTCTTCGAATTTTAAATTCTCTTTAAGCTAAATAATATTATTAGTAAATATTATATTAACTCTCAATTCTTGAATAGCAGATAAGCTTTATTTTTTAAAGTATAATATCTAAATTAGGGATTTATATAATTTTTATTTTTTTTTTACTCTAATTAGATTTTTGCAAGACATGGTAAACTTACTGAAACTAATTGAAAGAGTAACTCGACATTTATATAGCACCAAATATCTGACTATTAATCTTGTTCATCTATATATAAAATTACTTAAGAAAGAGTTTGCTACAAAAATGAGTGAGACTGTAGATACCTATTTGAATCTTATTTATAGTAAAAATACTAATAGTGTAAGTAAAGAGAATGAAAGTGATGAAATGAGTGATGATAATATTCCTGCTGCTAGTACTAGTAAATATTGGCAATATGCACACAGACAATTTCATCAAAAAATGGTTGCTCGTGGTAGAGGACAAAAGAAAAAAATATGTGTATAACCTAATAATACTAAGTTTGAAGATATAGATAGAGTAGAATATTTGCCACCAGTTACCACTACTGGTTTGCTTAGAAGAGTTCATACTGCTATTTATTTGTCAATGGATAAATTATGGAATTCTCTATCTGATATTGCTCTAGTTGCCACATTTCTCGATCCCAGGTTTAAGCACTTTAATTGGGCAACATCTATTGAATGAAACAAAGCGCAGAATTTAGTAGAGGTCCTATATGAAGAATTAAAAATAAAACTTGCTGTTTTGGATGATATTGAAGAAAGGGATCATAATGATGATGATGACAATAATAGTGACTTTTTTCACGAGTTGGAGACAAATTTTTTACAAACTGATACAGAAAAGAGTGAGATAATACACTATGCAAGGATAAAAAAAATTAAACTTAATAAGGATCCTTTAGAATGGTAGACACAAAATAAAAGTAGCTTGCCTGTTTTATCTCAGCTAGCACAAAAATATCTCTCCATTCCAGCAACTTCGATGCCGAGTGAGAGATTATTTTCTGATGCCAGTAATCATATTTCATCAAAACAAACTTATTTGTTACCTGATTTAGTGAATAAGGTTTTATTTTTAAAAAATAATAGAGTTCATTTTGATTTGTTTCCACCACAAGAATAATATTTTAGTTTATAACAGTTTTTAATACTGTAATTATTGCAATATAATTCTATAAATTGTATGCTTTGTGCTGAGAACAGAATATTTATAATATATTTGATACATAAATTAGGCCTGTGATTATAAAAAATTAGTAAATACTAACTTTATTCTCTAATAAAATAAAGTGATTCTTTCAAATTGAATTGGGGATATTGTAATAGTCAAATCCATATTTAATGCTATATGATGCCTGAAAAATTTTAGCATACAATACGTTGTGAAAGGCCTTTGAGCATCTACGTAAGCATTTTTTTTTTTACTATCACTATGTATTCATTATTATTAGAGCTATTAATTTATACATTTTGTTCATATGTACAAAATGTACATAATGATCAATGCGATTATAGAAAAACTTGTTAGTAAAATGAACCTAGCCTTACTGTAATTATTAAAGTTCAAAAAATATAAAAGATTTACCTTAGCAATAATAAAAAAAATTTAACTGTTGAGTTAGAACTCTAAAACTTATTCTCTTGATCCATAAATCGCTCTTAATAAAATTTGCATTTTTCATATCCTCAAAGTTATTGATCGATTGAAAATAAAGAAATACAAGAAAGAGCCACAATTGGTAACCAGACCTATTTTTATAAAGAAATAAAATTAAACTCTGATCGAATATCGTCATAATTATGATTACATCGATCAATCAAAATTATCAAAATCTTATAACATGTGACCCTAAAATAAAAGAAAAACTGAAAAGTGAAGTAAAATAGAACTGATAGTGCTAAAATTATAATCTAGATCAAGTAAACTTTTAAAAGAAGTAAAAAGAAACCCAAGAGTTATTCTGACAAGAACCAAGCTCTAATACCTCAGACCAAGTCTCAACACATCTCGATCGATGTCTACCATTTTTGGAGCTTCATTCTGGTTAGTATGATAGTGTTTGTTTGGTTAGATTAGATTATTTAGTTGGCATTTTATTAGCCCCCATGCTCACAATACACAGTACGTACCGTACTATGTGTATAGTACTGTATACACACATTACTAGCTGTAATTCTTGAAATAGCAGATGTGAATATTATTACAAAATTGTGATCGGTAGGGGTCCAACAATGTCTATCCCCACTTTATAAAACGGCATCATCACCGGTATGGGTTGTAAAGTTCTGCTATATTTATTTTTCCCTCTTCTTTGACAATTTTCACAAGATCGAACATATCTTCTAATATACTCAAATGCTTGGGGCCAATAATAGGTCTTGCGAATTTTTTCAAACATCGTTTTAGCCCCGAAGTGCCTTCCGAGTGGGTGATCATGTGTCAATAAAAGAATAGGGTCGATCTCATATTTCCGGACCACTTTTAAAGGTTGGTCTTGATTCTTTTTATTTACCTTCTATTATAAACTATTCTTTAGTAAAAATGTTCTACTATGGTTAATCATTTGTTTCCTTTGCTTTTTATCTAGGTTGTTTTCTATATATCCTTCTTGCAAATATCTCTTTAATTAGTTATAGTCTTTTTCTTCCATTTTTGGTACTTCTTTTGCCAGGACACCGACTACCTGGTCTAAATTAGATTTATCGTTGGATTTGGTGCTTTGTGGTATTGTACTTTTTTTTTTTTTTTTTATAATTCTATAAGCATTGAGTTGGCTCCGGGGGATGTTGGTTCCAAGATAATAAATCTTCGGTGGTCACGTAATTGGTCCTTCTTATAAGTGTTGATAGCTTCAACGTTTATTTGTTTCCTGCAACCTAAGTCAATTCCGGTTGCCATTAAATGCTCTCTTCGTGCTAGCTCTTGTTGGTCACCAGCCATGAACTATTCTTTTAAAATCAACAGGTTCCTTGGATCGTGTACAATGAGTCGTTATCCGAATTGCTCCGTCGAGTATATGGTCTTGCCTCAGTTTATCACTTCCAGGGCGAAGTGTTCAAGTTCTATCGGATAGAAGTAAACATGAAAGATCTTTCCATAGGATCAGTTCAGGTGGAGGAAGCTTAAAGCACTATGGCAGTCACTAGTCATTTTCTGAAAGTATAGTGGTGTCATACTTTGGGTCCACGCTTGGCCATTTATTTCATTAAGGGTCCGTTCGCTGGGTCCTGGTACGATGTTTTCTACTTCGATACCTTCCTTCTGTTCATCTTCATTTTTCATTTTTATCATAAATACTTCTTTTTCTTTACTTATTTCATGGCATCTATCTTCCTTTTTTTGGGTTATTACAGTTTCGTCATCATCATGGCTGTACCAGAATTCGTTGTCTCCTTCTTTGTCAGTTTCCAGGTTAGTATTTTCTTTACAATTTTCTGACCCTGTTTCACTTGGTGTTACCACAACTCTGCTTTGAGTGGATTCATCATCTGACTCTAAAGCTTCTAAGACTGATTCTCAGTATTCTAATTCTCTCTGGTATTCTTCAATTACGAATCCTCTCCCTGTACTTTTTCCGGGGTTAGAGAATGGGCTAGTAAAAAGTCCAAGGTCAGGGACTCTATTATTGAAAAATCTAAAGGCAGGTGAATAATCTTCTAGTTCTGACTTGATAGTTTCTTCTCCCGAGTCACCATTCTCTACTTTAATCATGAACACTTCACTTTCCTCAGCATCACCGTACCAATTATTTCCTCACTATTGATTGGCTATACAATCTTCTTTGGGTTGCCACTAGGTTTCAATATTCTCATTATCCCATTCATCATCGTCACTATAATCAACTCCTCCATCTGGTTCTCCCCATTTTGGTGGTTCGACACTATACGTTTTGTCCAGACTTCATTAGTTTTTTTTATATTCAACATTGGACCACTGCGTCTTTTCCACGGCATCATACCTCATCCAGGTTTGTCTATGACCCGATTCTAACGCTAGCTGTTCTAGCAGCTCTTGATAATCTTTGTCTTCATCACTTATCCATTCTTCATATCAATTAGGTTCACAATCATCATCTCCTCGATTGTTGGGTACGTAGTCGGCCATTAATATGTACCATTCTTCTTCCTCTGCATTCATTATAGTGACACCCATTTTGTTCAATTCCTTTTCATCAGCTGTAGCTTCTTCCGGGGTTTGTTTTCTATTTTCTTCCACCATATATACTTCCGCAATTTCCTCTTCTGTCCTGTTTATTCTTGATAATGTGTCTGCATTCAGGTGAGTACTTCCTGATTTGTGTTGAATTGTATAGTTGTATGGTTGTAGCCGGAGTATTTATCATGCTCTACGTCCCTTTAACTTCATACTATGTAGCCACTTCAGTGCCGAGTGGTCCGTTACGATTGTAAATGGCTTAAAGCCAAAATAATGGTGGTAGTATTCAACCGCCCAAATAACTGCTAGGTACTCCAATTCGCATGATGAGTAATTTTTTTCAGCCTTAGATAAGCTGCGGCTGGCGTAGGAAATCACGTATTCCTTCTTGCCTTCACCTTTCTGGGCCAGGACAGCTCCTAATCCGGTGCTGAATGCATCAATATACAAGTAAAACCTAGTGTGAAATCGGGGTACTTAAGAATGGGTGCCATCATTAGGTGATATTTTAATGCCTCAAATGCTTTTTGTTGCTTCTGTCCTCAATGAAAACTAACATCTTTTTGTAGTAAATAGTGTAGAGGCCTTGCTAATGCGGCGAACCCAGGTATGAACCTTCTGTAGTATGACACAAGGCCGATGAACCCCCTTAACTGGCGTAGTGTACCTGGTATTGGATAATTTCTTACTTTTTTCACTTTACTTTCGTCAGGTCGTATCCCTTGTCTTCCAATTATGTTTCCGAGGAAATGAATGGTGGGTTTAAAGAAATCGCATTTCTCAATGTTGATTTTTAATCCCACTTTGGCCAACTTATCAAATACTTTCTTTAGATGCTCCAAATGTTCATCGAATGTTCTTGAATATACATTGATATCGTCGATATACATGACTACAAACTTCTCAATATACTCCTTCAAAACACGGTCCATTAGGCGCTAGAAGGTGGCTGGTGCATTCGACAAGCCAAATGGCATAACATTAAACTTGTACAGTTCACTCCACATTATAAAGGCCGTTTTCTCCTTGTCTTCTTCTTCGACTCTCACCTGCCAGTATCCGCTCTTTAGATCTAAACTAGTAAACCAACTTGCAGTACTAAAGGTCTCCAATAGGTCGTCTATTTTTGGCAGTGGGTATGCGTCTTGTCTCGTATCCTCATTTAACTTCCTATAATCTATACAAAGGTGTAGCTTCCCACCTTTCTTTGGGACCACGACTACGGGCGAAGCCCATGGGCTACTGGACTTCCGAATAAAACCCCTTTCTTCTATTTCTTTTAGTTCCTTTTCTATAAACTCGTGTTCGTTCGGCGCCGCTCTGTAGGCTCTTTGCTTTATCAGTTTGGCCCCGCTAGTATCGATCTGGTGACTTGTTATAGTGGTTTCTCCAAGACCCTGCATATTATTGGTAAATAAGTTTCTTTCTTTCTGAAAGAATGTTTTCACCTTTTCCTTCGCTTCTTTGTCTAGGGTGTCATTTTGCAGGAACTTTGCTATCTGTTCTTCTATCGTAGGGTTCGCTTCTATATCTTCCTTAGTTGATACTTCTTCTATATTCGTCAGGTATATTGCTGGGCTCGTTACTTCTTCCCAGGGGTTATAAAACAACTTAATGTCTTCTTCGCTGGTTTCTTTAGTATAATAACCTTCTGCTTCTACCAATTCTTCATCTTCATAGGTATATTCGCCAAACTCATCTCTGCTGTCACTGTCAGGTTGATCTTTTTCTTCTGGTATTTCTAATTTTTTTGCTCTACTATTAGAAATAGGCACCTCGATTCTTCTGCCGTTATGCTTGAGGAGCAACCTTTGTTCATCAAAGTGAATTAATGCCTGTACTCTATAGAACCAATCATTACCAAGTAATAATGTTTCGTCCGCAGATTCAATTACTTGGAAAGTGCTAGGTAAGAGTATATCTTGGATAGCTAGCTTTACGTCTTCAATTTGACCTAATGTACGCATTCTGTTTCCGGTAGCAGTAATTACCACCGTTGACGAAGGTTTGTTTATTTTCAACTTTAACTTGTCTATGAGTTTCTTCGTGATTATGCTCACGGCTGCGCCTGAGTCCAATACTGCTCATATAGGGTTCCCTTTGATCCTAACATAATAATGGGCAGCCATGGTTCTGAGGTTATCACTAAAGTTTACTACATGAGTTTCCTGGGCCGTTTGGGTTTCCTGGTTCTCAAGCCACAAGGGGTCAGCGTAAGGCTTGAGCCAGGTTTCTTCTTTGGTTTGTGTATTGTAGTATTTGCCCAACCATAGCTTTAACTAGTAGGGATAATATATTGTCCACTACATTATATGGAGTTAATTTGTCTATCACTGAAGTCTCCCATTTTCATGTTATTTTCTTAACCATTTGTGATTCCTCTAACTCCATCGGCTGTAATCGGTCTCCCACGTCTACTAAAAGTAGTTCATTTTCTGCCTTGGGCTAAAGTTTATTTTCCTACTTCGGTTCCGGTTGCAATTTAGGCCTTTTCTCAGGGATATCTGGTTGGACTTATTGCTTTCTTTTGTCTACCGCGTATAACTCATTTTCGCAGTAGTTTACTCTACTAACGTTTTCTGTGGGTGGTCTTTCTACTTCGCTAGGCTCCTTAGGCCTTCTTTCCGACATACAGAAGCAAGCTATGTGTCCTTTTTTGCCACACCTATAACAAATGATTTCTTTCCTGGGCTTAGGTTTCTCTATATTTTTCTCTTTCATGTGTATTCTTTTCTTGCTAGTTATTTGCCGTGACGTAGTTAACCTATAGCTGCTGCACTTGCTTGACTAATGCTTCAATTATTTCATTCTTTTTATCAGAGATTTCTGTAGCTTCAGATATGTGGGTGCCATAGTATTCGCCTGCTTCTACTTTTCTTGCTGCCACAATTGCTTCATTAAGATTCTCTGGAGAGGTGACTGCAACGAAGGTTGCTGTTTTTTCTTTCAATCCACTTAAAAATATTCGTATAATATATTAGGCGGGTAATGACTCTTCCAGGTCTACCCGACTTAGGAGCTTCTTAAACTTGATGGCGTAGGCGTCCACTTTTTCGTTTTCGAGTTTGGCAAGGTTGTTCAACTGGATCTGCTACTTATGTTGTTTTTCTGAGAATGCAAAGTAAGTGACCAACAAGTGGTAGAAACTGTAATCTTGATTATCCTTGTCTTTCCAGTCATCGATATTTGCTTTGTTATTTTTGTACCATTCCGCTGCTATCCCTTTTAGGTAACCAGAAGCTATCTTGAGTCTTCTCTCATCTGACCAGTTGTTTGCTTCCGCAGCACATTCAAAATCATCAAACCACTCTATTAGATCATCATCATCGTTCCCGCTAAAACTCCTAACCTTCACATAGTTCGTTTCTTTAGGCCCGAACTCATTTCCTTTAACGATGTTCTTGGCTGTGTCTTCGAATGACTTGGTCATGCTTCTATCAACTCTTTGAGTTGGGCGGCGTTCATAGTGGTTGAATTAAATGGTACAAGAAACCTTTCTAGTGTGTGGAGATATAACTTCTTGGGTTTATTTTCGGATCTCACAGTCACCACCAAAAATGTGATAACTAGAAAAGGCGACTCAGTCGCTCCACAATACAGATTCTTGTATAACTGATGGTGGGTAACCTTACGAAGGAGGTGTGTTAGATTTGGCGGGTGGGTGATTTAAGGCTTTGGTCACTCTGAGTCAGTAATGCTAGGTCACGTAAACAAGGGCTTTAACGAGCGACAAATTGTAAGTTTAGGGTTCAAAGGGTATAATCGCACAATAGTATTTTTATACAATGTTATGGGCAATGTATTTGATAAATTTGAGGCTTGGTTTTAGTGAAGCAAACAAGACATAATTTTTCTTGGGGTGATAACACCTTTATTTATAATAAACTTCTACTTAGTACTTATCATTATATCTTTTATATCTCTTAAATTGATTATAACAAATAAAACTATTATATCTCCTATAACTATTAAATGGGCTATAACAAATAAAACTGATATCTTTCTCATAACTAATAAAACTATTATCTCTATTAAATCGATTATATTTATTATCTTCGCTATATTAACTATCCAGGATATATTTGATTTCTTCGATATATTCAATATATCGCCAGTAATTCCATTTAGGGCAAGAGATCATCACAACCGAGTAATGTGAGTTGGTACAGCGATTATTAGGTCAGGTTTTTCTGACCTTACAGTACTATTAGGAGTTGATTGAGAAATGTAAAACTTATGTTTAGCAATAGTTAAATATTTGCTAAGCATTTTGTTATAAATAGAAAGGGTGATAACAATATTCTGGATACAGTATTAAGTAGTTTTTTTTTTTTTTTGGTATTAAGGTGCTCTCTTTGGTCTGGGGAACTTTTTATTAGAGTATAGATGAAGTTTTATATGTAATTACAACAATAGTACATCAAGCCACACATATATACACCTTTTGAGTGCCTATTTAAGTAGTCCGCCCGAAGGTTCTACACTATCTGCCGTACCTGTGCCTAGTGTTCCTAGTTGGTAAAAATTTGCCAATCAATTAGTTGGCAACTAAAGTTGGCAACTAATCGATTATCAGCATC